CGTAGCGGGTCCGTCATTGTTACCAGCTCCTGTCACAGGAGGAGGAGGACGACGGTGGAGAGAGAGAGGACAGAGCTCCCGTCTTCATCATCACCGAGACAAAAGGGGGACGAGCCGAAGCGACGACGGACGGCGTGCAGACAGACCACACTGACACCTCCGTATATTTATAATGTTACTTATGTCTTCTCCTCTTCTATTTATTCTGAACGTTGTTTATATTTATAATTAACCGGACCACCCCCGTGAAGTGCCTGCTTTTCTCGTAACGAACATAAACAGCCTCATCCCGCCATTAACGCCGCCGTTGTTATTGTTGTTGTTAATGCGTGGTTGTTGGCTCGGCTGGTTTTCCTCTCACCGATGACGCAATAGTCATTAGGTCTTCGTGATTTTTTTTTCACTTTGTTAATTTGACTGTTTAAAAAAAATCAGTAGTTTTATTTGTTGTTCTAATCGCTGTTGGATCGTTAGTAACGACGTCCGTATTGATATCGTTTTCGCTCCTCCCCCTTTTTTGGTCATCTTTTTTCATTTTCGCGCAGGTGTCCCGTATGATGTATAGGTAGCTGTGCTCCGAAGGTTCTGGATTCTTCTTACCGTGTGTGTGAAGTTCTGTGTTTCTTCTCCTTCCTCCCCAGTGGTGTTGACAACTCTTCGTTTCAACGGTTGCTGGTCTGATACATACAGCTGCGCACACGCACAATCACGCAGACACGCGCGCACTCACACACATAATCACACAGACGCGCGCGCGCATACACACACACACTCACTCACACACACACACACACACAATCACACAGACGCGCATATATACACGCGCATACACACAAACACACAGACACACACGCTCTTACAAAAACACACGATCACATAGGTACGCACACGCTCGCACACAATCGACGTACAGACGCGCACACAAGACGCTGCCGTTTATTGTCACCGAGGAAAAGACGCAGCGCTGTCCAACATTGTGAGTCTCGTGTCTGTTGCTGCTGCTATCGCCGTCTACGTATTGCGTGGTCACCGTTTTCCGCTGTCACTGGTCGCGCGGACCTCACCACAGTCACCACACCACCACTCGCCAGATCGTCAGCCACCGCCTTCAGACAAGGACGACGAAATCATGGACGGCGCGGAGAAAGAGAAAGATCGAGAAGGTTCTGCTTCTTCTTCCTCCACCACCCCTCGGAAGAACAAGCGTTACACCAAGACGGCCCGAGACCGACAGAGTAGAGACGAGGCCAACAACAGCACCAACAACCCGGGCTCCGACAGCAGCAGCAGCAACGGTACAGAGGTGGCGAGGAAGGCAGAGAGCGCTACTGTCAGGTAAGACCAGATCTGTCACTTATTTTTGTCCTTTTTTTTCTCTCTTCGGA